CTGTTACCTTCCCACCGAAGTGGTACCTATTTATCTACTTGCAATTTCTTGCTTTCATAAGAACATAAGAGACGCCAATGTTGGATCAGGCCAAAGGCCCATCCAGTCCAACACTCTGTGTCACACAGTGGCCAGAAATACCAGTGCCATCAGGAGGTCCAGCAGTGGGGCCAGGACATTAGAAGCCCTCCCACTGTTGACCCCCCCCCCCAAGCACCAAGAAGACAGAGCATCACTTGCCCCAGAGCCCCTAGCTATACCTTGTGGCTAATAGCCACTGATGGACCTCTGCTCCATATGCTTATCTAATTCCCTTTTGAAGCCGTCCATGCTTGTAGCACCCACCACTTCCTGTGGCAGTGAATTCCATGTGTTAATCACTCTTTGGGTGAAGAAGTACTTCCTTTTATCCGTTCTAACCCGACCGCTCTGCAGTTTCATGGAGTGCCCACGAGTTCTTGTATTGTGAGAAAGGGAGAAAAGTACCTCTTTCTTTACCTGCTCTTTCCCATGCATAATCTTATAAACCTCGATCATGTCACCCCTCAGTCGTCTTTTCTCCAAGCTAAAGAGCCCTAAGCGCTTTAACCTTTCCTCATAGGGAAAGTGTTCCAACCCTTTTATCATTCGAGTTGCCCTTTTCTGCACTTTTTCCAAAGCTATAATATCCTTTTTAAGGTGTGGTGCCCAGAACTGCACACAGTATTCCAAATGAGGTCTCACCATTGATTTATATAGGGGCATTATTATATTGGCTGATCTGTTTTCAATACCCTTCCTAATAATCCCCAGCATAGCATTGGCCTTATTTATTGCAGTCACACACTGTCTCGACATTTTCAGTGAGTTATCCACTACAACTCTTGCTCAGTCTCTGCCAGTTCAGACCCCATCAATGTGTATTTATATTTAGGATTTTTGGCTCCAATGTGCATCACCTTGCACTTGGCCACATTGAACCCCATTTGCCATGTTGACGCCCACTCGCCCATCCTTGACAGATCCCCTTGGAGTGCCTCACAATCCTCACTGGTTTTCACCACCCTGAACAACTTTGTATCATCCGCAAATTTAGCCACTTCACTGCTTACTGCCCAAAAATAGCCCTGAGTATAGCCCACAGGGCTCAGCGTCAGACTCCTTGACTTGCTATGGGAAGCACTGATTGGCTAGTATCTATGCGGGGCCAGTGTCAACATGCCAGTTCCACCCCTCACTTGCTAGTGCCCACCATCCATGTTCTCAGCAGCTTGCACTGCCCCAGGGGAAAGAGCTGCAGGCAGCTGTGAAGAGCAGGGTTGCCAACTCCAGGACGGGAAATTCCTGGAGGTTTGGGGAGTGGAGCCTGGTGAGCGAAGGAGCCTCAGCGGGGTACAGTGCCTTAGAGTCCACCGTCCAAGGGGCCCATTTTCTACAGGGGAACTGATCTTTGTCATCGGGAGACCTGTTGAAATTTTGGGAGATCTCCAGGCTCCACCTGGAGGCTGGCAACCAGTGTTCCCTCTAAGCTGAGTATAGTGTGAGCTAGCTCACAGTTTTTTTAGCCTCCAGATCACACATTTTTGTCTTCGCTCAGGAAGGATGGGGCTCCAGGGCAAACTCATTGATGCAGCAGCCAAATTGCTCGCTCACAACTTCAATGCCAGGAGCTCACAAAGTAGAGTTTTTGCTCACAAGACTCCACAGCTTAGAGGGAGCACTGCTGGCAACTCTAGGAAGAGCGAGAGGGCTTGTGCGCAGACGGGACAGGGCGCACAGGCAGGTGGGAGGGAA